GGTGGTTTTTTTTTTTTTTTTTTTTTTTTAGGGCAGGGATATTTCTGGTGTTTTTCCATAGCAGTTCTGTGTGGGTTTTTTTTTTGGGTGGGTGATGGATTTCTGGTGCTTTCCTCTAATAATTTCAAGGAATTTTTGGGGGATTTTTGCCCCATCCAGATTACAGGGTGTACAGAACAGGGGAGGGGGGATTTCTGGTGTTTTCCCATAGAAGTTTTGTGGGATTTTTTTTGTGGGGAGGGGGGAGGAGATGGATATCTGGCGCTTTCCTACAATAATTTAATGGTATTTCTTGGGGTTTTTGCCCCATCCAGATTACACGGTGTATGTAGCAGGGGAGGGGGATTTCTGGTGTTTTCCTATACTAATTTCATGGAATTTTGGGATTTTTTTGCCCCATCTAGATTACAGGGTGTACACAGCAGGGAGGGGGATTTCTGGTGCTTCCCTACAATAATTTAATGGTATTTTTTGGGGTTTTGGCCCCCTCCAGATTACAGGGTGTATGTAGCAGGGGGGTTGGATTTTTGGTGTTTTCCTACAATAATTTAATGGTATTTTTTGGGGTTTTGGCCCCATCCAGATTACAGGGTGTACGCAGCGGGCGGGATGGGCTCGGACCTGCGGCCCCACAACTTCCTGCAGCACTATGACGTGCTCAAGGACATCTGGGTGTCCCTGGCTGCCATGCCCACCCCCCGCTACGCGGCCACGTCCATCCTGAGGGGCACCAAGATCTACGTGCTGGGTAAGGACCGGCCCTGCCACCTCCTCTCTTCTTTCTCCTTCCTCCTCCATCCTTTCTCCTTCTTCTCCTTCTCTTTCCTTTTTCTTCCTTTCTCTTCCTATTTCTTCTTTCCTTTTCCTTTTCCTTTTCCTTTTCTTTTCCTTTTCTTTTCCTTTTCCTTTTCCTTTTCCTTTTCCTTTTCCTTTTCCTTTTCCTTTTCCTTTTTTCTTTTTCCTCCTTCTTCACTTTTTTTCTTTTGCTTCCTTTCTCTTCCTTCTCCTCTTTCTCCTCTTCCCCCTTCTCCTCTTCCTCCATGCCTGACAGATGGGATCACTGGGATCCCTGGCACTGGGATAATTGGAATCCCTGGCACTGGGATAACTGGGATTCCTGGCACTGAGATAACTGGGATTCCTGGAATTGTGATAATTGGGATCCCTGGCACTGGGATAACTGGTATCTCTGGCAGTGGGATGGATCCCTGGCCCTGGGATGGATCCCTGGCACTGGGATGGATCTCTGGCACTGGGATGGATCCCTGGCCCTGGGATGGATCCCTGGCCCTGGGATGGATCCCTGGCACTGGGATGGATCCCTGGCCCTGGGATGGATCCCTGGCCCTGGGATGGATCCCTGGCCCTGGGAGCAGCAGCTGCTCCATCTCCCCTGCTCTCAGGAGCTCAGGCCAGGGCTCACTGGATCCTCTCATGGAATTCCTCTGCTCTTCCCGAGCCTGATCCCGGCTCTGCTCTGGGTTTGTCTGGATCAAACCGGCTCATTTCAAACCCCTCCCTGTGCCTGCACCATGGGGTGGGGGCAGAGATTGGAAAATTCAGATTTTTCCTGTCATGAGACAGAGAAGTGAAAAATCCCCAGTTTGACTCGGGGGCTGGAGTGATGACTCAGGTTTTTAGTTTTTCTATTTTTCAGATTCTGTTCTACTTTAGTGTGTAAATCTAAGCTTCATATTATGGGATGGTGAGCTCTCTGCACAGAGCAGGGAGACAAAACAATTCCTTCTCTAGCTGGGACCAAGGACAAATGATCCAAAATCTCAGCCCAAGAGCACAAACAACGTGGGCTGAAGAGAGAAAAACAAGGATGGGACTGCATGGGCTGGAGATGTAATTGGACAATTAACTCCAATATGCAAATGGAGGAGAACTTATAAAATGAGAGGCCCTGTGACCAGTTGTCCATTTTGTGACCATTTGGGTTCATCTTGGGTTCGTTTTGTGACCATTTTGGGTTGTGCTGCCCGAGGTGGATCCATTGAAGCCCTTTAATAAATCCCTGCTTTATTCTTTAGCTCTGTCTGGTCTCTGCTCTAGCTCAGCCCTCCCAAGGCCTCAGGAGAGCTGAGGCTGCTCCATCCCTGAGCTGGAATTCCCTCTCCTTTCCAATTTCTTCTCCTTGTCCATTCCCTCTCCTTTCCATTCCCTCTCTTTTTCCATTCCCTCTCCAATTCCCTCTCTTTCCCATTCCCTCTCCTTTCCAATTCCCTCTCCTTTCCCATTCCTTCTTTCCCATTTCCTCTTTCCCATTCCTTTCCTCTCCTTTCCAACTCCCTTTCCTTTCCATTCCCTCTCCTTTCCAATTCCCTCTCCTTTCCAATTCCCTCTCTTTTCCTATTCCTTCTCCAATTCTCTCTCCTTTCCCATTCCTTCTTTCCCATTCCCTCTCCTTTCCCTCTTTCCCAGGAGGAAGGCAATCCAAGTACGCCGTCAACGCCTTCGAGGTCTTCGACACGGACACGCGCTCCTGGACCAAGTTCCCCAACATTCCCACCAAAAGAGCCTTCTCCAGCTTCGTGCCCACCGAGGAGAAGCTCTTCAGCCTCGGGGGGCTGCGCCAGGGCCGGCTCTACCGGCAGCCCAAGTTCATGAGGACCGTGGACGTGTTCGACCTGGAGCAAGGTTGGGGACACCGAGGGGCCTGGGGACACGGGGATGGGTTTGGGGACATGGGGATGGGCCTGGGGACATGGGGATGGGTTTGGGGACATGGGGATGGGCCTGGGGCCACGGGGATGGGTTTGGGGACATGGGGATGGGTTTGGGGATGGGTTTGGGGACACGGGGATGGGCCTGGGGACATGGGGATGGGTTTGGGGACACAGGGATGGGTTTGGGGATGGGTCTGGGGACACAGGGATGGGTTTGGTGATGGGTTTGGGGACAAGGGGATGGGCCTGGGGACATGGGGATGGGTTTGGGGACACGGGGATGTGTTTGGGGACACACAGGGATGGGTTTGGGGACACACAGGGACGGGTTTGGGGACACAAGGATGGGTCTGGGGACACGGGGATGGGTTTGAGGACACGGGGATGGGTTTGGGGACACGGGGATGGGTTTGGGCACACAGGGCTGGGTTTGGGGCTCTGCCATCCTTGCAGAGCACAGAGCTCCCACCTGCTGCTGCCTTGAGCTCAGCTTAGAGGACAATTTCCAGTCAGGATTACCGAGTAGAACAGGAAAACCTCACTCCTGAGCCAGCTGGATCTAACAGTGGGATCACAGGGGACAAACCCAACCATGCCATGGGGTTTTATCACCCCAAGGTGCAGCAGCCAAACTGCCCTTCCCCGAGCCAGGGGCTCAGAGAGGCGGATGCTCCCCCAGGAGTGGGTGATCCCACAAAAGCCAGCGTGTCCTGTCCTTCCAGGGGGCTGGATGAAGACGGAGCGCTCCTGCTACCTGAAGAAAAGGCGAGCAGACTTCGTGGCCGGATACCTGAGAGGCAGAGTTGTCGTGGCTGGGGGCCTGGGTGAGGCTCTGGGACTGTGGGAACCCTTTAAAAAGGTGTTGGAATTGTTGTCATCCCCAAAAAAATGAGAAATCGCAGGGCTGCCTGGTGGGAGGGAGCAGGGAAAACAAACCCCATGAGGGGACGGGTACAGAGCAGCCAAGAGAAGCTCGATGATGCTTCCCAGATCATCCAGCGCCTCCTTTTGTGCTTCCAGGGAATCAGCCGACAGTGCTGGAGTCGGCAGAGGCTTTCCACCCCGAGAAGAACAAGTGGGAGAGCCTGCCCCCCATGCCCACCCCGCGCTGCGCCTGCTCCAGCATCGCGCTGCGGGACTGCCTGCTGGCCGTGGGGGGCGTCAGCCAGGGGCTCAGCACGGCCGTGGAGGCCCTGTGCCTCTCTGACTCCTGAATCCCACCGGGAATGGGGCTCTGTGCCTCTCTGACTCCTGAATCCCACCGGGAATGGGGCTCTGTGCCTCTCTGACTCCTGAATCCCACCGGGAACGGGGCTCTGTGCCTCTCTGACTCCTGAATCCCACCGGGAACGGGGCTCTGTGCCTCTCTGACTCCTGACTGGAACACTCCTGGAGGAGAATCCCACCGGGAACAGGGCCCTGTGCCTCTCTGACTCCTGAGAATCCCACCTTGGACAGGGCCCTGTGCCTCTCTGATTCCTGATTGGAACTCCCTGGAGGAGAATCCCACCTGGAACAGGGCCCTGCCCCTGCTGTCCCCAGCAGTGGCACTGGGGACGGTGCTGGCATCTCCCAGGACTGGGACAGCACCATCCAGCTGCTGCAGGGGCCTGGCTGCTCCTCCAGAAACACATCCAGGGATTCTGGTGCCTCCCTTCCTGGCACTGCTGTCCATGAGGAACCCCCACACTGGCCAGGGGTCCCCTCCTGTCACTGTCACATCTCCATGGGGACATCCAGCCAGGGGAACTGCTCCTCACATCTCCATGGGGGAGGAACTGCTCCCTGCAGCTCCATGGGGACATCAGCTGGGGGAACTGCTCCCCACAGCTCCATAGGGAAGGAACTGCTCTCCAGATCTCCGTGGGGACACCCAGCTTCAGACACTGCTCCCCACATCTCCAAGGGTCCCAGGGCGGGCTGTCCCCGCTGAGTCGCCTCTCCATCCAGGGCCGCTCCCGTCACCGCGGAGCTCCGAGGGCACTGTGTGGAGCTCCGAGAACACCGTGCAGAGCTCCGGGAACACTGCGCGGAGCTCCAGGAACACCCTTCGGAGCTCCTAGGATGGATGGATGGATGGATGGATCCATGGATGGATGAATCCATGGATGGATGATGGATGGACGGACAGGTGGAACCCCCAGCTGCACTGCTGGGGTGGCCTCTGCTGCTCTCATCATCCGTGGAAGGCCATAAATGACTTTCCCAAAGGCTCCCATTGGCGCTGATGAGTTTCCCTTCTCCTGCTGATGGATGGGGAGGATCAGAGCAGCCGCGGCCTCCTCCGGGTTTTTAGAGGGAAAATGGATTTCACACCTGCCTGAGCATCCGCGGCAGCGGGTGAGGAATGCTGGGGCTGAGGGCCACGAACGAGGGGAGAGCATTAAACTTTTTGTTGTCTCTGGCATTTTAATGACTCTTCCTTTCCCTGCGGGAGGTCTCCCTGCTGCTAGAGAATCTCTTTCGTGATGTTTATTCCTTTCCCAGTCCACAAACAGAGCCTGTGGCCACCCAATCCCGAGGCAGAGCCACAGGTTTTGGCCGGAATGTGAAGTTTTCAGAGCCGGGATAACGCTGTAGAATTTATTTTCATGTAATAAATTCATTAATACAAATTCCTCAGGCTGCAAGCAGACGGAGCTGTGACCGAGCACCAAGCCGGGCTCCGAGCAGGTTTCCCTGACGCGGAGCCAAATTCCTGGCTGGATTTCAGGTTGGTTTTAGTGGACACGCACTGGGGCGGCGGGACAAGCCCGGTTTGGGATTTCCAGGGGAATTTCGGTGGATTTCCCCAGCGGAGAAAGCCGCGGGTGCTGCCACAAAGGAGGATCCTTATCAGCGGATTCCAGCGGGCTGCGCTCCGCGTCCCTTGGCATTTCCATGAAAATGGGAAAGGCTTCCTGAGCCGCTCTGGAACAAACATCCCCAGCCTCCCTCCCGGCCGCAGCACGGAATCCTTGGGAGGAATTTATCCGCTGGAAACAGAAACTCCGCGGGAGTGCACGGCGGGGGAAACCTCGGGAAAAGCATCCCGAAAAATCCACCGGGACCCCAAACACGGGGCTGGAGCTCGGTGCGGGCTCCAGCGCTTTTGGGAGGGAGGGCTGAGCTGGGAGAGATCCCGTTAAAAACGGGACCACACTCCCGGTAATAAAGTGATTTCAGCGTTTATTATAACAAAAAGAAAGGCCTAAAGCAAGGGATACTAAAAGTGATTTCAGTATTTATTATAATAAAAAGAAAGGCCCATATCAACTATTTTACAATCGTTTCTAACGTATTTTTAACAATCCCACGGCTGGGACAGATCCGGAGGCAGCGACAGCGACAGCGACAGCGACAGCGACAGTGACAGCGGCACTTTCCCCTGCGGCCGGTGCAATCCCTTTGCTGAGCGCAGCCAGGGAGGTTTGAGCTTTCCCTGCCCGGCTCTGCCGCAGTCCCCGGGCCGTGCCCGGACAGGATCCTGTTTGCTTTGCCGCTGAAATTGCGGCAGTTCGGTTCAGCTCAGCTCCTCCCCGCCGTGTTTATCTTCCCCGTGGCCCTTGGAAACGGCTCCTGTTGCCGCTCTGTAAATAATTCATTGCCACAATTCATTAGCGCCGTTCATTATCGCCGTTCTTTATCACAGTCCATTATCACAATTCATTATCGCAATTGCTGCGGCCCGGGATCGTCTTCGGATGTCCCGGGCTGATTTTAAAACGAGCAGAGAGATTTGTCCCTGGTTTGTTGAGCTCGGGGAGAGGTTGGAGGAGGGAAGGAGCAGCCCGGAGCTGCTCATCCCTGTGAGGAACCCAGGTGCCACGCGGTCAGCGGCCATAAAAATCAGTGACAGTGGCAGGGGAGGGGACCTGTGTGTCTTCGTTGCACCAAAATGACATTTAATGTGTGTGGGACAGCACTGGGACAGGTGACAGCCATGGAGAGTGGCCCAATGGCACCAAAATGACATTTAATGTGTGTGGGACAGGCGACAGCCATGGAGAGTGGCCCAATGGTACCAAAATGACATTTAATGTGTGTGGGACAGGTGACAGCCATGGAGAGTGGCCCAGTGGTACCAAAATGACATTTAATGTGTGTGGGACAGCACTGGGACAAGTGACAGCCGTGGAGAGTGGCCCAATGACACCAAAATCACATTTAATGTGTGTGGGACTGTGCTGGTACTGGTCACAGCCACAGAGAGTGGCCCAATGGCCCCAAAATGACATTTAATGTCTGTGGGACAGCCCTGGGACAGGTGACAGCCATGAGGAGTGGTTTGGTGCAAGGCTGTGCCCACGACTTGTGGTTCCACCTTCCCCGAGGGACATCTGTCCTCGAAAGGTCACTCTACAACCTCACCCCGGTGACAAAACCAGCCAGGGGACAGTGCCACCCACCTGGGTCTGCACTGACAGCGAGACACAGCCCCGAGGTGCTGCGAGCTCCGTCCTGTGTCACCTCTGTGTCACGTCTGTGTCACCCCCGCAGAGAGGAGCCGGCGCTGGGTTTGAATCATCCCTGGCAGGCGTTTGGGACCCCCTCCTCTGCCCGAGAGCGCCGGGAGCGGTGGGAAAATCCAGGTCTGGGTGAGTAATCCCGCAGTTATCTCCCTCTGCCATCGATCCAGGGTGTCCTCACACAGGCCAGAGCCTTTGTTTCGACTGTTCTGGGAAATAATTGCATTCTTTTAATATCTCCAAAGGAAGATTTACCGCGGGGAGACCACACGGGGAGAAGGTGTTGCTGAGGGAGCCGGGATGGCCCTGAGGAGCCTCAGCAGCCGTTTTCCCCCCGGCCCCGGGCCTGGAGAACGTTCTGGTTCCTCCCTCCCAGGCTGCGTGTCCAGGAGGGCAAAGGGTGGCTCTGTGGGAGTGTGGACAGGCTGCACTCGCCCGGGCCTCTCCTGTCCTTAATTTTGCCCTAAATGCCAGTTTTCCCCTGGGTTTGGTGCAGTTTTCCCCTGGAATCTGGTGCATTTTCCCCCTGTTATTTGATGTAGTGTTTCCCTGGGTTTGGTGCCATTTTTCCCTGGGTTTGGGTGTAGTTTTTCTCTAGGATTTGGTGCAGTTTTCCCCTAGGTTTGGTGCAGTTTTTTCTCTGGGATTTGGTGCAGTTTTTCCCTGGGATTTGGTGCAATTTTCCCCTGGGTTTAGGTGCAGCTTTTCCCTGGGATTTGGTGCAGTTTCCCCCCGGGTTTGGGTGCATTGGGACTCCTCACAGCAAATCCCATCTGGCTGTGCGTGTCCCTCTGCCCCCAGAGGAACATCCAGGTGCTTTGCTCCACATGATGGAATCATGGAATGGTTTGGGCTGGAAGGAACCTTAAACATCACCCCTGCCATATCAGGGACACCTCCCACTGTCCCAGGCTGCTCCAAGCCCCATCCAGCCTGGCCTTGGGCACTTCCAGGGATCCAGGGGCAGCCCCAGCTGCTCTGGGCACCCTGTGCCAGGTTCTGCCCACCCTCCCAGGAGGAATTCCATCCCAATATCCCATCTAACCCTGCCCTCAGTCACTGTGAAGCCATTCCCCCTTATCCTGGCACTCCAGGCTCACCTCCAAAGCCCCACTGACCCTCCCAGTGCTCCGGGCCTGCCCCTCTTCCCAACCTTTGGGTGAAATCCCTCCCTGCACCATCCCCTGGGAAATCCCCATCTCCCCCCAGCCTGGGCCCCCTTTGTCCCCTGGATCCCCTCTGTCCCCGCTCTCCACACCCCCTCCCTCACCCCAATTTTTTTGGGGTGCTCCCTGGCTCTCCGCCACCCCTCCCCGTGCGTTCCCCGCTCCCAGCGCTGCCCGTGGGGTCTCCCCGCTCCCGGCCCCCCCGTCCCTGTCCCGGCCCCGGGCGGGGCGGCCCCGGCAGCCGCCAATGGGCGCGGGGAGGCGCGGCCGCCGGGGCCGCCGCATTTATCGGCCGGGCCGGGCCGGGAAGCGGCGGAGCCGGAGCCGGGATCGGGATGGAGCGGGCGGCAGCGCCCGGGACCGGCTCCGCTTCGGCGCTGGCCGCCTCGCTGGCCGAGGGGCTGATCAAATCGCCGCGGCCGCTGATGAAGAAGCAGGCGGTGAAGCGGCACCACCACAAGCACAACCTGAAGCACCGCTACGAGTTCCTGGAAACGCTGGGCAAAGGCACCTACGGGAAGGTGAAGAAAGCCCGGGAGCGCTCCGGGAAGCTGGTAAGGATCCCCCTGGGGGGGGGGCATGGTCACCGTGCGGGGTCCCCGAGCTTCCCATGTCCCTAAGCATCCTCTGTCCCCGACGCATCCTCGGCGTTCCCGGCTCATCCCCTGGTTCGGTGTGTCCCTGCATTCCCCCGGTGAATCCCCCCGGTTCGGTGTGTCCCTCCATTCCCCCGGTGAATCCCCCCGGTGCGGTGTGTCCCTCTCTGTCCCCGATGTATCTCCCCGGTCCGGTGTGTCCCTCTCTGTCCCCTCTGCACCCCCGCAGTGTTTCCCGGTGGTCCCCGAGCTGCCCCCGCTTCCCGCAGCCCGGCCCCGCTGCCTCCCCCACCTCCGGTTCTCTCCCCTCCAATCCGTTCCCGGCGCATCCTCACGGACCCCCGAGCATCCCCCGCTCCGAGCATTTCGTCCCCGGTGTCGCCGGTCCCGGCTCCCCGCAGCCCCGGCCGGGCCCCGCTCCCCCCGCAGCTGCGGTTCTGCCTTGGTCCTGCTGCGGGGGGGGGGTCTCAGCGGGGCCGGGGGCAGCCCCGAGGGGTCTCGCCCCCCTCCTCCCGGGGGTCTGCAGCTCCTCTCGCCCACTTGACCGCGGTCGCGCTTCCTGGGGGCAGGAGCGGGCAGGGACGCGGCCGCCAAAGCAAACACCGCACTCGAGGCTGAAGGGTTTTTCCCTTCCTCTCACCCTGGGTTTGCCTTTCTCACGGTGTGGGGCACCCAGGGAGCAGCCGAGCTCTCCAAAATCCTGACTCACCCCAGCCCACTGGGGGAAAGTGGCTGTGGCTCACCCAGCTCAGCTTTCCTCGGGAAAAAGGGGATTGAACCCCCGGGAACGCCGGGCTCTGCTCTGTCCTGCGGGAATCTGCAAGGATTCAACCTTGG